CCTTCCTCCGAGCTCTCCTCCCTCCCTCCCTTCTTCCCAGCTCTCCTTCCTTCTTCCCTCCCTCTCTCCGTCCCTTCTTTCCATCTCTCCCTCCTTCCTTCCTTCCTCCCTTCCTCCTAGCTCTCCTTCCTTCCTTCTTCTTTCCCTCCTTCCCAGCTCTCCTTCCTTCCTCCCTTCCTCCCTTCTTCCCTTCCTCCCAGCTCTCCTTCCTTCCTTCTTCTCTCCCTCTCCCCCTCCCTTCTTCCTTCCTTCCTTCCTTCCTTCCTTCCTTCCACCCTCCCTCCCTCCCTCCCTCCCTTCCTCTCCCTGCTTTAGCAGCGTCAACCCTTTTATTCAAATTTCAGGCACCTCCTGGAATGCCAGAATCCCTGCTCAGCCAAAAGAAAAAGGTTCTGGCACGTGTACAAACCGACACGCCGAATTGTGCAGCCGAAGGAGGCTGAATCAACCAAGAGCCTTGGTAGTACAGTGGTCTAAGTCACCCTGTTATTAAGCTGGTTATTAAGACCAGCTGCCTGCAATTACTGCGAGTTCAATTCTTACCAGGCTCAAGGTTGACTCAGCCTTCCATCCTTTCTAAGGTAGGTAAATTGAGGACCCAGATTGTGGGGGCAATAAGCTGACTTTGTATAAATATACAAAAGAATGAAGGATGTTGCTTAGCGCATTGTAAGCCGCCCTGAGTCTCCGGAGAAGGGCGGCATATAAAATCAAATTAAAAAAAATTTTTTTTGAAGGCATGCACTTAAATAGCAGGCCGGCCTTTCAGGAATGCAAGAAGGAGATTTGGGAAGCCCCTTTGCCAAGGGCTAAGAAAATGATATGAAAACAACTCCTCCATAGTGGTTAGTAAGGCTCAACAGAGACTTCATTTCCTTGGAGTCCCGGGGAAAAATCAGGTGGAACAACGGCTGATGACTTCTTTCTATCGGTTCTTTCTATATGTCCTCACATCAAAGTTGGGCTTCACGTCAGGGGTGAAATCCAAAATTTTTCCCTACTGGTTGGTGGGCGTGGCAGGGGGAGGATACTGCAAAATCTCCATTCCCTCCCCATTCCTTTTCTCTTATTATTTTCTATTCATTCATTCATTCATTCATTCATTCATTCATTCATTCATTTATTTATTTATTTATTTATTTATTTATTTATTTATTTATTTATTTATTTATTTATTTATTTATTTATTTTATTAAATTTCTAGACCGCCCTTCTCCCGAAGGACTCAGGGCGGTGAACAGCCAGAAGATAAAACACAGAAATACAAAAATTTAAAATAAATTAAAAACGAATTAAATAATTTAGGCTGAATTTTAAAATACCCCATAATTAAACAGATTAAAATTTGTGTTTAAAATTTACATTTAAAAAGGGGAGAAGATTTAGGCCAGGCCAGCTTGATGAAATAAAAAAGTCTTAAGCGCGCGACGGAAGGTGCGCAGATCCGGGATCCTCCGTATCTCCGCGGGGAGCTCGTTCCAGATCGTAGGTGCCCCCACAGAGAAGGCTCTCCAACTAGGGACGCCAGTCGACATTGTTTGGCCGACGGCACCCGGAGGAGCCCCTCTCTGTGGGAGCGTACTGGCGTATTCTATTCTTTCTATTTTAAATGTCTGTGCAGTCTCTTCTTGAAAACCTCCAGACAGTGATGGAGCACCCACAACCTCTGGTGACAGGCAGTTCCAGGGGTTAATTGTCCTCACTGTTAGGAAATTTCCCCTTAGTTCCAGGTTGCTTCACTCGGGAAAGCTGAAATTCTGATTTTAATTCCTGGCTTTGGGACGAAGTCAAACGTCTCTCGTTTTTTGCCTCTCGCAGCTTGTTCAATTCCTGCTCCATTTTTCATGAGGGGGAGAAGGGTCCCTGTTTTCCTGGGGACGTTGCTGGCTCTCCGGCAGCCTGGACGTTAAATGGGTCACTCTGGAGCCCCTTCTGTTGCCGGCCCCTGCTACCCAGACCTGACGGATGTGAAGGGAATGGAGGTGACACCGGCTGTCAAGGCAGGATTTAGTGCAGCCGAGGCCAAAGGGGATGCCATCAGGATGTGTTTGTGTCACTCCAAGTCTCCTTAAAAATAATTTTTCGGAGGGGAGGATAAAAAGGGCTGGCAATTTGCAAAATGGGGAAGGAAGTTAAGCTCCTGGGCCTGGCTGAAAAGGGGAAAAGAAGATGCTGGTTGAGACAGAAAGGGGGGAGGGGGGAATGGAGGGGAGGGGGCTTGGCGGGTGAGAATAATCTTTGAACGATTCGTGCTCACCGTCAGGGCCCTGCTGAAAATGGTACTACAGAATTCCAGTTTCCGTCCCACAGGGTTAAAGCCAGCTTCTGTGGTGATTTAAGGTGGCTTACATTTGAGCTACCAAGAGAGGGCGGTGAATGAGAAAGAAAGGAAGGAAGGAAGGAAGGAAGGAAGGAAGGAAGGAAAGAAAGAAGGAAGGAAAAAAGGAAAGAAACAAAGGAAAGGTGGGAGGGAGGAAGGAAGGAAGGAAAGAAAGAAGGAAGGAAGAAGGAGAGAAAGTGAAAGAAAGAAAGAAAGAAAAAGAAAGAAGGAAAGAAAGAAACAAAGGAAAGGTGGGAGGGAGGGAGGAAGGAAAGAAGGAAGGAAGGAAGAAGGAGAAAAAGGAAGGAAGGAAGGCGGAAGGAAGGGAGGAAGGAAGGAAGGAAAGAAAGAAAGAAAGAAAGAAGGAAGGAAAAAAGGAAAGAAACAAAGGAAAGGTGGGAGGGAGGGAGGAAGGAAGGAGAAAGAAGGAAGGAAGAAGGAGAGAAAGTGAAAGAAAGAAGGAAAGAAAAAGAAAGAAGGAAAGAAAGAAACAAAGGAAAGGTGGGAGGGAGGAAGGAAGGAAAGGGAAGGAAGAAGGAGAAAAAGGAAGGAAGGAAGGTGGAAGGAAGGGAGAAGGAAGGAAAGAAAGAAAGAAAGAAAGAAAGAAAGAAAGAAACAAAGGAAAGATGGGAGGGAGGGAGGGAGGAAGGAAGGAAAGAAAGAAGGGAGGGAGGGAGGAAGGAAGGAAAGAAAGAAGGAAGGAAGAAGGAGAGAAAGGAAGGGAGGGAGGGAGGGAGGAAGGAAGGAAAATAGAGGCAGATAGGTACGTATGTAGGTAGGAATGGGTGAAGGGAAGGAAAGGAGGAGGAAAGAAAGGGAGAAGACAGGAGGGGGAGAGGAGAGGAAAAAGACAAGGAATAGAAAGGAAAAGGAAAGGGAAAGGAAAGGAAAGGGAAAGGAAAAGGGAAAGGAAAAGGAAAAGGGAAAGGAAAGGAAAGGAAAGGAAAAGAAAGGAAAAAAAGGAAAGGAAAGGAAAGGAAAGGAAAGGAAAGGAATGGAAAGGAAAGGAAAGGGAAAGGGAAAGGAAAAAAAGGAAAGGAAAGGAATGGAAAAGAAAGGGAAAGGGAAAGGGAAAGGGAAAGGAAAAAAAGGAAAGGAAAGGAAAGGAAAAGAAAGGAATGTGAAAATAGCCAATGTGGGATAAGGATTTGGGTGTTAGGCTAAGAGAGCAAGATTCATAGAGACATCCGGAAAACCTGTCGTGAAATCCAAATTTTTGTACTACCGGTTCTGTGGGCGTGGCTTGGTAGGCGAGGTGTGGCTTGGTGGGCGTGGCTTGGTGGGCGTGGCAGGGAAAGGATATTGCAAAATCCCCATTCCCACCCCACTCTGAGGCCAGCCAGAGGTGGTATTTACCGGTTCTCCGAACTGCTCAAAGTTTCTGCTACCGGTTCTGCAGAACTGGTCAGAACCTGCTGGATTTCACCCCTGTCAAAAACATCCAATGAGGTGGGAAATCCAGCCACAGAAGCTCCTTTGGGTCCACCCAGCAGGATTGTTGTTGGGTAAAAAAAGGGAGAAGAGAAACCTTGAAAACTCTCAAAGCAGTGTTCTACAACCTTGGCCAATGGAAGATAAAATGTGGACTTCAACTCCCAGAATTCCCCAGCCAGCTAAGGAACAAATTTTGCTAGGATTTCCAGACATTACTATCTCCATCCCAATGTGATAGGCTGGCAGCAGGAGGCGTGTCTTGACCCCTGCAGCCAATCAGCATAGGCGAAGCCAGAATTTTGCAATCTAGAGCCATGATGGCGAACCTGTGGCACGCGTGCCACAGGTGGCACGTGGAGTCATGTTGCCTGGCACGCCAGCTCAGCTCTGTCAGCTGATTTTCGGCCCTTTTGGGCCCACCAGAAGAGGGCCTGGGGGGGGGGAAGGCCCGTTTTTCTTTCTCCCTGGCTCCAGATCCTCTCTATGCATCTGGGGAGGGCGAAAACAGCCTTCCCCACCCCCTCGGAGGCCCAAAACAGCCCGTTTCTCAATGTTCGTCCTCCAAGGAAGTGGGGAAGGCTGTTTTTGCCCTCCCCAGATGCATAGAAAGGATCTGGAGCCAGGTGAGAAAGAAAAACGGGCCTACCGGGCCATTGTGTGCCAGGAGTGGGGGCGGGAAGGGGGGGTCGTGCTCGCATGTGCATGGCGGGGCACATAGAATTATGGGTGTGGCACACGCACGGGCAAACCTCCCTCGCCCCCCCCCTTCCTGGCACGCGATGGCAAAAAGGTTAGCCATCACTGATCTAGAGCATAATTGGGTAGCCACTCTTTCTCTCCAACTGGAGGACTATATGGGTGAAAAGGATCCGTGGAATGGATCTGGGCGATCAGGCATCATCCGATCCGATCCCAACTGTTGGAGTTGATTCAGCCCTGGCGTGACTGGATCTGCTTAAGGCTGATCACTTAAATTAAACCCTACCTTGTTTAAGGTTTATTCCCCATTTCTCATTTTAGAACATAGAATAAGAAAGTCGGAAGGGACCTTAGAGGTCTTCTAGTCCAACCCCCTGCTCAAGCAGGAGAACCTATTATTCCATGTCGGACTGTCTCGCTTAGCAAGAGAAATTTTGGACTCAATGGTGGTCATAAGTTGAGGACTACCTGTAGAGGAAATGCAACTACTTTCTGACGAAGACTTTCCATCTCAAGAATGTAGGTTCAAGGACCATGTCTTCTCATCCAATGAAAGTTGGTTTATTCTTAAGCACGGCTGTCTGATCTGGGGTGCCAAAGTCCAAACAAACAGAAGATGGCAGCAAAGTTATAAGTTCTGCAGACGTCTGAGGCTCACCCAGATTTTTCTCAGCCGAGCTGCATCCGCCCTACTTTAAGGACCACCCCCCCAAAATTAATATGGGTTGAGCCAAAACTCAGGAACGCTCCCTGGCCTGCTGTTGACTCTAAAGATGTGGTCCTTTGTAGACTTCCTCCTTGACTTGCTAAACTCTCCAACCCTTGCCTTCTTTTGGTCCAAAAAGACTATTTTTGACTATTTCTGGAAGACATTTCCCGTAAGGCACGTGGTTGGCATGCTTGGCAGAGCCACTGCTCGGATCCTGGCACGTCACACCGGGCACTGGAAGCTGCAGAAGTCAGCCGACTTGAAGAAGTGGTAGACATTCACCAAGGGGAACATCAGCAGAGCTCCTAGCAGAGACCCCAGCTGCTCCACCGCGCCGTACCAGACCAGGGCGTTGTGGCTGCAGCTACGTAGAATCATTCCAAGCATCACCTTGACGTAGGTGAGGGTTCCGGTGAAGCATACCCAGGAGATCACCTGTCGAGAGAGGAAGAGGAGATGCCGGTGAGAAGTTGCCAGCTTCTTCTGCCCCAGCTACGGACCCCAAAGAACGCAGCACGCACAAAGTCTGTACAAACCTTAGTTTACTAAATTAAATCAGTCTTTTTTCAAATAAAGGCTGTTAATTAACTTTCTTAACAGCCTACAAGAATCCAAAGAATAAATAATCGTAATCTTACTGTGGTTGGCAGAAAGCCCAGAAGCAATTTGCAGGAAAACTGATAAGAGAACTAAGATCAGGACGCGAAGGAGAGTGAACGAAGTTGTTCCCTGCAAATTGCTTCAATCGACATTCCTCCTTAAATAGGCTAAGGGAGTGGCCAATTAGCCCCAAGCCTTACTCTCGAGGAGACCTCCTCCTGAGGAGCCACTCCTGCCTTTTGGCAGCTCTGCGTGCCTGTGCATCGAGAAGAGGCTCCTCCTCTTCTTCCTCTTCACTTATGGGAGCTTCTGGAGGTTCTGAAGGCCCTGGCTGAATCCTCGCCTCTGGCACCGCATCTTCTCTAGCCTCCTCATTGTCCGACTCGAGTGCCAGCTGCACAGGCTGCTGACACAGCACCACACCAGCCTCCTCGCTGTCGGAATCAGCTACTAGCTGCACAGGCCGCTGATGGGCCACAACACAGCTTGAGATCTTGGAAGATCTCCAGAAGTTGCAGGTGGCTCCATCCCTGGAGGTTTTCAAGATTGGACAGCCATTTATCTAGAGTGGCATAGGACAGGGGAGTCTCTAAACTTTGACAACTTTAGGACTGGTGGACTTCAACTCCCAGAATTCCTCAGCCAGCCATGGTCCAGGAATCTACGTTCTTGGCTTCGAATGTTGCACGCTGGCAAAGTTGCATACTTTGCTGAGGAATTCTGGGAATTGGAGTCCACAAGTCTTAAAGTTGCCATGGTAGGAGACGGCTGGTATAAGGTCTCCTGCTTGAGCAGGGGGTTGGACTCAGTGGTGAAATCCTCCGCCAGTCGCCACCGGTTCATTGCGTGCGCATGCGCAGTCCACACCAAACACGCGCTTTTGGATTTCCTGCTTTTTAAAAAAAACTTTTTAAAGCATTTTTAACTTTAAAAAGTAAAGTTTGCTTTAAAAAGTTTTTTAAAAAATGCAGCTGAGCGATGTGCAATCGTCGGAACTTTTTTTTTTAAAAAAAAACTTTTTAAGCATTTTTTTACTACCATTTTGGCGAACTGGTAGCATTTTTTAAACTACCGGTTCGGGCAAACCGGCCCGAACCTATAGCATTTCACCCCTGGTTGGACGATGACATGTGACACCTTCGGAGAGAGAATCAGCTGAGTGACGTGCAATCGTCGGAACTTTTTTTTAAAAAAAAAACTTTTTAAACATTTTTTTACTACCATTTTGGCGAACTGGTAGCATTTTTTAAACTACCAGTTCGGGCAAACCGGCCCGAACCTATAGCATTTCACCCCTGGTTGGACGATGACACATGACACCTTCGGAGAGAGAATGACTGAGTTCTTTGCAGACATGGGACCACAAAGTCCAGCATGCTGTGCGAATCCAACCCCCCCTCCCCCCCCGTATTTCCCACCCGCAGGAAGTGATCGAGGGGCCGACTTACAATCAGGGCATCTCCCCAGTCGGAGTGCTGCAAGAGGGGGCAGGGCTCAGCACAGCCATGGCCATATTGTAGACCCCAAAGGCCGTTCCTGCAGCGGTCAGGATCCACAGGAACAGAAGGGACCTGGGGGGGGGGAGAAAGAAGAGAGGTGGTGGGTTGCTTTTTTCGGAGACAGGCCCAGACTTTGCCCACAGCAAGCTGGCATCCAAAGGAAGAAGTGGCTAGGGAGCAGGGGAGGAGATGTAAGCTGGGTTTTCTTGCCACGTTAAACCAGGATTGGGTAAAGAAAGGATGGGCAGCTTGTGTCAGCCATTAAGAAAGCTTAAGAAAGAAACTGCGATGTTGATATTATGGGGTCCTTGGTGTTCTCCGAGCTGTGTGCTTGCAGATGTTTCATGGCCCAGCTAGGTAACATCATCAGTGGGAGAAGGGAGTGGGGTTTGCAGAGAGGAGGAGGAGGAGGAGGAGGAGGGGGTGGAGGAGGAGGGCTGTGGGGTCCTTTGTGATTTCGAAGCTGTGTCATTTTCTTGCAAAGTTTCATGACCCAGTTAGCATCATCAGAGCTACAAGGGTTTGCAGGGGGGAGGAGGAGGAGGAGGAGGAGGAGGAGGAGGAGGAGGAGGAGGAGGAGGAGGAGGAGGAGAAGGAAGAGGAGGAGGAGGAGGAGAAAGAGAAGAAGAGGAGGAGGAGGAGGAGGAAGAGGAGGAGGAGGAGGGGAGGAGGAGAAGGAAGAGGAGGAAGAGGAGGAGGAGAAGGAGAAGAGGAGGAGGAGAGGAAGAGGAGGAGGAGGAGATGGAGGAGGAAGAGGAGGAGGAGAAGGAGAAGGAGAAGGCGGAAGAGGAGGAGGAGGAGGTGGTGGAGGAGGAGGAGAAGAATTATTGTTGGGTCTCTGGTGTGTGGTTGTTTTCTTGCAGATATTTCATGACCCCACTAGGTAGTATCATCAGTGCTAGAAGGGAGTGGCGTTTGCAGAAAGGAGGAGGAGGAGGAGGTGGAGGAGAAGGTGGAGGAATAATAATAATAATAATAATAATTTTATTTCTATACCGTCCTTCTCCCGAAGGACTCAGGGCGGTGTACAGCCAATTTAAAAACACAAGACACAACAATAATTAAAAATTAAAATAATTAAATAGATTTGGCCAATTTAAAACCCCAAAAATTAAAATACCCCAATTTAAAATTATTATATTGACAGCCCTGCCTGGCAGAACAACAGGGTCTTGAGGGCACAGCGAAATACCCGGAGGTCGGGGATCTTCCGTATTTCCGGGGGCAGTTCATTCCACAGGGCTGGGGCTCCCACAGAGAAGGCCCTCCCCCTGGGTGTCGCCAGCCGACATAACTTGGCCGATGGCACCCTGAGGAGACCCTCTCTGTGGGAGCGGACTGGTCGGTGGGAGGCTATTGGTAGCAGAAGTCGGTCTCGAAGGTACCCGGGTCCTATGCCATGGAGCACTTTAAAGGTGGTAACCAACACCTTGAATCGCACCCGGAAGACCACTGGGAGCCAGTGCAGCTCGCGCAGGAGGGGTGTCACGTGGGCGCAACGAGGTGCGCCCATAACCACCCGCGCGGCCGCATTCTGGACCAGTTGGAGCCTCCGAGTGCTCTTCAAGGGGAGCCCCATGTAGAGAGCATTACAGTAGTCCAGCCGGGAGGTGACGAGGGCGTGAGTGACCATGCGCAGGGCATCCCGGTCCAGAAAGGGCTGCAACTGGCGAATCAGGCGAACCTGATAAAAGGCCCCCCTGGCCACGGCCGTCATGTGCTCTTCTAAAGACAGCCGTGCGTCCAGGAGGACGCCCAGATTGCGGGCCCTCTCTGTGGGGGGCAAAGATTCACCCCCAATAGTCAGCGATGGCACTTGCTGACTATATCGGGACGCCGGAAGCCACAGCCACTCGGTCTTGGAGGGGTTGAGTCTGAGCCTGTTCCTCCCCATCCAGACCCGCACGGCCTCCAGGCAGCGGGACATCACATCAAGGGCATCGTTGGGGTGGTCTGGGGTGGAGATGTACAGCTGAGTATCATCAGCGTACAGGTGACACTTCACCCCAAAACCACGGATGATCTCACTCCTCCTCACAGGAAGAGGAAGAGGAGGAGAAGGAAGAGGATGACGACAATGACTGGGGAGGATTAGAGAGCATCAAGGACCTCACAGTCCTCCTCCTCCTCCTCCACCTCCTCTTCCTCCTCCTTCCCCCTGCAAACCCCACTCCCTTCTAGCACTGATGATGTTCCCTAGTTGGGTCATGAAACGCCTGCAAGAAAACCACCAGGCTCATAGAGCTCCAAGGACCCCACCCCAGTTCAACCCTGAGCCCCAAAGCTTCTCTTCCATTGGTACCATTGGCTTGACTGGAATACAGACCTGTTGGGTAGGAAGGTGACCACGATGCAGGCAAGAGGGTTGGCCATGGAGCTCAAGGTAGCTGCCAGATGGTACGCCAGGTTGCCGTAAGGCAAGCAGGAGTAGCTTTGCACGGAGGGAAGGATGCCGTTGGTCAGGGCATTCAGCCAAGCGACCATGAAGTAGATGAGGACAAATTTGGAGCAGGTATACGTGACCTTCTCGGCCCCTTTGTCATCTTCGTTGACGTTCTCCAGCTTTCTCTCCGTAGAGTAGGTTGGGCCCCCTCTCAAGTTGGCCGGTTCCTCTTTCCCTGTAGGCATCTTCTGGATTGAGTTGAGGGTGATCTCGCTGGAGCATAAATTCTCCTTGGAAAGCTCCCATGACTTGGGCTGCCGGTTGAGGAAGAGGAAAGCCACGAGACAGAAGAACATCATGGCCGAGAGGATGAGGAAGAAAACCAAGCTGGAGAAGTTGGCTGGGGAGTAGCGCGTTTCCATCAGCTCCGTTGCGTTGACCCACGAAGAGTTGCCCACGCTGGCATTGGAGGTTGGCCCTGGGATCTGGACGCAGGTGGCAATGCCAGCCCCTGGGCCAGGGCGAAGAGAGCGGGGATGAACCCACTGAGTCCTTCCCCGATGAAGAGAGTGGGGACGTACCGAGGATGGAAGTGCACCATGAAGGGCAGGAAGGTGACGGACGAGGTGCAGTCCACCAAGGAGAGGAAGAACGTCAAGACGAAGAAAGCCACGCTATGAGGTTCTCCAGCGATCGGCGTGGTGTAATGCCAAAGGAAAGCCAGGAGGAAACAAGCTAGGATGCCCGTGGAGACCACCACGCAAATCACCGGGACCTCCTTCAATAAACCAGGTTTCAGTTTGTGCATGAGAGTGACAAAGAGAGGGCCGATGTTGGCCAGTTGGATGATGATGGTGAGGTAGGAAGGGAGATACCAGCCTTCGGGCAATTCGGTCACCAGGAGGGAAGCTCAACCCACACGCCGTTGATGGCCATCCAGGAACCGGTGCCAAAGACGCAGGCCAGGAAGTGGGTCAGCCACGCCATCTTCTCCCCGGAGCAGAAGACCTGATGGAGAAGAGAAGTGGCTTAATAGATTAGATTAACAGAGTTTGGAAGGGACCTTTGGAAAGGTTTGTCCCCTGGGCATAATAGGATGGCCTTGGTTCCTCTGGAAGAAACCAGGATCAATTCAAGGTTTGCAGTCTACAAAGAAAGAGATTGAACACATTGACAGAGTTGGAAGGGACCCTTATAGGTCATCTAGTCCAACCCCCCACCCAAGCAGGAGACCGTACACCATTTCCGACCGATGGAGTCCAGTCCAGTCTCTTCTTGAAAGCCTCCAGTGATGAAGCTCCCACAACTTCTGAAGGCAACTTCTCTTCCACTGGTTGATCGTTCTCCCTGTCAAAAAATTCCTCCTTATTTCCAAGTTGAATCTCTCCTTGATCTTTTTCCATCCATTATTCCTTCTCTGGCCTTCAGGTGCCTTGGAAAATAACTTGACCCCCTTCCTCCTCTCTGTGGCAGCCCCTCAAATATTGGAAGATGCTCTCCTGTCTCCCCTGGTCCTTCTCTTCACTAGACTAGCCAGGCCCAGTTCCTGCAACCGTCATCCTATGTTTGAGCCTCAGTGCCCTCATCATCCTGGTTGCTCTTCTCTGCACTTTTCTAGAGTCTCAACATTTTTTTGTATTGTGATGACCAAAACTGGATGCCGGACTCTAGGTGTAGTTTTACTAAGGCTTTATAGAGTGGTATCAGTACCTCCCTTGATCTTGATTGCATCCCTCTGTTAATGCAATTTAGGATTGCATTGGCTTTTTTGGCTGCCGCTGCACAATGTCTAGTTGTCCATTAAGACTCTGAGATCCCTCTCAGGGTTACTATTACTATTAAGAGTTACTATTAAGCCTGGCTTCACCCAGTCTCTGTGTGTATTTGGGGTTTTTCTTGCCTAAGTGTAAGACTTCACTTTTCTCTACGTTGAATTTCATTTTGTTGGATAGGATTAAACAGGAGGCAAGAAGAGTTGGGATGAGAGTTTACATCAGTGATTCCCAACCTCAGCTATTGGAAGATGTGTGGACTTCAACTCCCAGAATTCCCCAGCCAGTTCTTTGAGAGTCTTCAAGAGGTGTGGACTTCAAGTCCCAGAATTCCCCAGCCAGCTATTTGAGAGCCTTCAAGATATGTGGACTTCAACTCCCAGAATTCCCCAGCCAGCTATTTGAGAGCCTTCAAGATATGTGGACTTCAACTCCCAGAATTCCCCAGCCAGGTGGCTGGGGAATTCTGGGAGTTGAAGTCCATACACATCTTAAAATGGTCTATGGCCCTGATGGCGAACCTATGGCACGGGTGACACAGGTGGCACACGGAGCCATATCTGTGGGCACGTGAGCGTTGCTGGCCAGCTGATTTTTGGGCCTTCCGGGCCCACTGGAAGTCGGGAAACGAGCTGTTTCAGGGCCTCCGGAGAGCCTCCGGGGACGTGGAGAAGGCAGTTTTCGCCCTCCCCAGGCTCCTAGAAAGGCTTTTGGAGCCTGGGGAGGGCAAAAAAATGAGCCCACCGAGCCCACCAGGCCATTGCGTGCCAAAAGCAGGGGGAGAGCGTGGGGGGTCACGCAAGCATGCATTGGGGGACGGGCGCATTGAATTATGGGTGTGGGCACCCGCACGTGCAATCCCACCCCCCACTACCCCCGCTTTTGGCACGTGATGGCAAAAAGGTTAGCCATCATTGGTCTATGGTGAGCATACAATCGCATTGGTTGGAGAGAGAAAGAAAGGCAGGAGAACTCCAGCTAGTTCACTTAGTGTCCATTCGAAGTTACAATGGCACTGAAACAAGAGGACCGTTTTTCAGACTTATGACCACTGCAGTATCTGCATGGTCACGCGATTTACATTCGGATAGCCGACTCATATTTATGACGGTTGCAATATCCCGGGGTCACGTGATCCCTTTTGCGACCTTCTGGCAAGCAAAATCAATGGGAGGAAGCCCGATTCACTTAACGACCAGGTTACGAATTTAAGAACTGCAGCGAATCGCTTAACGACTTGTGACGAGGAAAGTTGTAAAATGGGACAAAAACTCGCTAAACAAATTTCTCACTTAGCAACAACAATGTGGGGCTCAATTATGGTAGTAAGTTGAGGACTACCTGTTCATTTAGTGATGATTCAACAGCACTGAAAAAAAATGACTTATGACCATTTTTCACACTTACGACCGTTACAACATCCCCATGGTCAGGTAATCAATATTCAGATGCTTGGCAACTGACTCATATTTATGACAGTTGCACTGCCTGGGGTCATGTTTTGCGACCTTCTGACAAGCAAAGTCAATGGGGGAAGCCAGATTCGTTTAACGACTGCATGATTCGCTTAACGACTATGGACGAGAAAGGTCATAAAATGGGGCAAAAGTCACATAACAACTGCCTTGCTCGGCAAGGGGAATGCTGGCCTCCCATTATGCTCATAAATCGAGGATTCCCTATATTGCCTGAAATACAGGCAGTCCTCTACTTACAACGGTTCACTTAGCGACCGTTCAAAGTTACGCCGGCGCCGGAAAAAGTGACTTAGGGCCGTTTGTCAAAGCCCCAACCTTTGCACCACGATCACATGATCAAAATTTAGACGCTTGGCAACTGACTCATACTTATGACGGGTCGCAGTGTCCCGGGGTCACTGACACGTGGTGATCCCCTTTTGCGACCTCCCGACAAAGCCAAGTCCACGGGGAAGTCTTGTTACTCGCTTAACAGCTTCAGCGATTCACGTCATAACTGCGGCAATGAAGGTCGTAAAATGGAGCAAAACGCACAAATGTCTCACTGAACAACAGAAATATCGGGCTCCGTTGTGGCCGTGCGTCGAGGATTACCTGGAACCTTAAACACACAAAGAGCCATTTGGACCCCTTTCCCACAGAAAAGAAAACACCGGGAGCCACAAAACCTCGGTGGGCGTGGCCAACTCGACGTCACTCACTTCAATCAGTCACATGACTCCCGCTCTGTGTCTCTCTGTGTCTCTCTTTCTCCCCCTCTCTCTTTATCTCTCTGTCTCTTTTCCAGCCAGGTGAGGAGTGACTGGGAGGGAGGCGGCGAGAAACGGGCCCAGCTAGTGGTGATATCACCCAACAGGGAGCCACAGTAGAGGGCCGAAAGAGCCACATGCGGCTCCGGAGCCGTAGATTGCCGACACCTGATCTGGACGGTTTGCAAAACTCTGCACTGTCTCTTTAAGAGGATTGCCCCATCCGCTCCTCTCTAGCTTGGGTTGGATCCAGGAAAGGAAAGGATCCAGGAATGCCGTCCCTGCTCACCTGGATACCTTTTTACCTGCTCGCCGTTACAGCGATGGGTTGGGGGACGGCTCAGCAGCCCCTCCCAAGTTCCTGGACCCCGTCCAGGTAGACAGATCGAAGGACAACTGTCGCATACACAGCAAAACTGGCTTCTCTTTCCCCCCCCCAAAACTACGGGAGTTCCACTTAGTGTCGAAACCAGGCCTGGGCAGTAAGCGAGGACTCGTGAAACGTACCTTTAGTTTGACAAGGAGTGTCCGCAGGTGAGCGCTGGTCCCCTGGTGTCTTCCTAAGCAAGCAGGTGGAAGTCTACCTTTCGACGCCTTCTTGCATCGACCTCCGAGCCGGCTGACCCCTGCCCAGGTCCAATTGGGTCCCAGCCAGCTTCCAGGGTTTCGTTTACCTGTGCGCCCGTCCGTAGGTGGCACCGCCTTGAAAGTACAGCTTTGGTTAGGAAAAGAAAAGAAAGGCAAACGCTAGACGCAAGGTGCCAAACAGGCTGATCGGGATTTTTCTTTTTCAGTCAACGATTGTGGTCGGTGGCTGGGAAAGTTGGATTTCATCACCATGCCGGGATTGTTGCATTCTTCAAGGCCGAGCAGGGAGGCAGCTCGGCCAATATTTGGGGAGGAAGGAAACTTGGCAGCACTTTTTCGGGCGGCTGTTGATAAAAACAGCTCGCCAAGATGTATCGACAACCTCCGATGACAGATATGGCAGAAGGAGGAGGAGGAGGAGAACAAGAAGGAGGAGGAGGAGGAGAAGAGGAGGAGGAACAAGAAGAGGAGGAGGAGAGGAGAGGAGAGCAGATAATAATAATAATAATAGATAATAATAATAATAATAATAATAATAATAATAATAATAAGAATAATAATAATAATAATAATAATAAAATAATAATAATAATTTTATTTCTATACACGCCTTCCTCCCGAAGACTCGGCGGTGTACACCTATTTAAAAACAGAATAGACATCAATTTAAAATAATTTTAAAAGTATTAAAGTAAATTTTTGGCTTAATTTAAAACCCCAAAAGTTTAAAACATTCAATATAAAATTATTGATAGGCCAGCCTGGCGAACAACAGGGTCTTCAGTGCGCAGCGAACACCCGAGGGGGAGAGTTGGAGATCTACTATTTCCGGGGGCAGTCATTCCACAGGCTGGGGCTCCCACAGAGAAGGCCCTCCCCCTGGGTGTCGCCAGCCGACATAACTTGGCCGATGGCACCCTGAGGAGACCCTCTCTGTGGGATGGACTGGTCGGTGGGAGGCTATTGTAGCAGAAGTCGGTCTCGGAGGTACCCGGTCCTAAGCCATGGAGCGCTTTAAAGTGGTAACCAACACCTTGAATCGCACCCGGAAGACCACTGGGAGCCGTGCACGCGCAGGAGGGTGTCACGCGGGCACAACGGGTTTGCACCCCTAACCACCTGCGCAGGAGCCCGCATTCTGGACCAGTTGGAGCCTCCAAGGGGAGCCCCATGTAGAGAGCATTACAGTAGTCCAACCGGGAGGTAACAAGGGCGTGAGTGACTGTGCGCAGGGCGTCCCGATCCAGAAAGGGCTGCAACTGGTGAAATCAGGCGGACCTGATAAAGACCCCCCCTGGCCACGCCGTCATATTGCTCTTCTAAAGACAGCCGTGCGTCCAGGAGGACACCCAGATTGCGAGCCCTCTCTGTGGGGGGCAAGATTCACCCCCAATAGTCAGCGAGGCACCTGCTGACTATATCGGGGCGCCGGAAGCCACAGCCACTCGGTCTTGGAGGGGTTGAGTCTGAGCCTGTTCCTCCCCATCCAGGAACCCGCACGGCCTCCAGGCAGCGAGACATCACACCAAGGGCATCGTTGGGGTGGTCTGGGGTGGAGATGTACAGCTGAGTATCATCACATACAGATGACACTTCACCCCAAAACCACGGATGATCTCACCCCAGCGCTCACATAAATGTTGAACAGAGGGCAGGAGGACCGACCCTTGCGGCACTCCCCATGCGAGATGCCTCGAGGTCCGACCTCTGTCCCCCTGCCAACACAGACTGCGACCGATCAGAGAGAAAGGAGGAGAACCACCGCAGAACGGTGCCCCCTATTCCTAACCCCCTCAAACCGCTGCAGCATGATACCATGGTCGATGGTATCAAAAGCTGCTGAGAGATCTAATAGGACTAGGACAGAGGAGCAGCCCCTGTCCCGGGCCCTCCAGAGATCATCCACCAACGCGACCAATGCCGTTTCTGTGCTGTACCCCCGCCTGAAGCCCGACTGGCACGGGTCCAGATAGATAGCTTCATCCAGTGTCGGGAAGCTGTCGTCCACCACGCTCCTCAACAACCTTCGCCACAAAACGAGGTTGGAAACCGGACCGTAGTTGGCTAATTCAGCCGGCAAGAAGAAGAAGAGGAGGAAGAGGAGGAGAGAGGAGGAGGAGAACAAGAAGAAGAGGAGGAGGAGGAGAAGGAGAGAAGGAAGAGGAGGAGGAGGAGGAGGAGAGGAGGAGGAGAAGAAGAAGAGGAGAAGAAGAGGAGGAGGAGAGAAGAAGAAGAGGAGGAGGAGAGGAAGGAGGAGGAGGAGAGGAGGAGAAGAGAAAAAAAAGAGGAGGAGGAGAGGAGGAGGAGGAGGAGGAGGAAGGGGGAAGTCGTTAGATTGGATGCCATGTCATGCCTCTTCCTTTCTTTTCTTTTCCTTTCTTCTCTTCTTCCCTTCCCTTCCCTTCCCTTCCCCTCCTCTCCTATCCTTCTCCTCCTCCTTCCCCTCCTCCCCTCCTCTATCATCTTCTTCTCATTTCTCCTTCTCTTTCTCCTTCCTCTTCCCCTCCTCCTCCTTTCTCTCCTCTCCTCTCCTCCTCCTCTTATTCCTTCTCCTTCTTCTCCTCCTTCCCCTCCTGCACTCCTCCATCTTCTCCTTTTTCTCATCTTCTCTTTCTCCCTCCTCCCTCTCCTCCTCCTCCTCCTTTCTCTTCTCTTCTCTCCTCCTCCTTCCCCTCCTCCATCTTCTCCTTCTCTTCCTCCTTCCCCCCTCTCCTCTCCTCTCCCCTCCCTGGGAAGGTATGTGGCTGCTTCTGAATGGGAGGAGGAGAGCGCGAGAGCAAGGGATTGCAAGATTGGCTTGGAAACTGTCACAGAATGTCGAAAATGTAGCTCGTGATACAGCAGCCAGTAGCTCTGAAGCAGGGGTGAAATGCTACCGGTTCGGATTGGTTCAGCCGAATCGGTAGTGATGGCGGTGCATGGTTCGGAAAACCGGTAGCGGAGGCAGTGCAAGGCTCCGCCCACCCGGCCGGGCATGCGCAGAAGGCTTTGTGCATGCGCAGAGGATCCAAGCGTGCATGTGACGCGGACCGCATACTTCCCAACCGGTAGGGAAGATAAGTAGATTTCACCCCTACTCTGAAGCAACCTGTTGTGGCCCATCAGCAGCCTGTGCAGTTTAGTAGCTGATTCCGACAGCGAGGAGGCTGGTGTGGTGCTGCGCCAGCAGCCTGTGCAGCTGGCACTCGAGTCGGACAGTGAGGAGGCTGGAGAAGATGTGGTGCCAGAGGCGGGGATTCAGCCAGGGCCTTCAGAACTTCCAGAAGCTCCTTTAAGTGAAGAGGATGAAGAGGAGGAACCTCTTCTCGATGCACAGGCGCGCAGAGCTGCCAAAAGGCAGGAGTGGCTCCTCAGGAGGAGGTCTCCTCGAGAGTAAGGCTTGGGGCTAATTGGCCACTCCCTTAGCCTATTTAAGGAGGAACACCGACTGAAGCAATTTATAGGGAACAACTTTAGTTCACATTCCTTCGCGTCTTGATTTGGCTCTTGTTTCTCTCTTATCAGTTTTCCTGCAAATTGCTTCTGGGCATTCTGCCAACCACGGGAAGATTACCGTTATCTGAAATACTGTGCCTCAGAACTGATTTATTATTCTTTGGATTCTTGTCGGCTGTCAATGAAGTTAAGTTAACAGCCCTTGTTCAGAAAAGACTGATTTAAATTAGTAAACTAAGGTTTTTACGGACTTTGTGTGCGTGCTGTGTTCTTTGGGGTCCGTAGCTCTGGCAGAACACAACCACAATTTCCCCAAATTTCCTTCCCTGGGGAGTCCTGGTTCCCAGATTTTGGACACCTTTGGTAAATTAGCCCGTTTGAGGTTATATTTGTTTCAAATATTGTTGCCCTACCACGATGCACCGTTTCGCCCAATTAATTAAAGGTCACAACAATGAGAGTTTTAGTAGTGTGGCTATTGGGCTATTGGGGATGAGATCTTACCCCCCTCAGAGAGGGCTCACAACTTGGGCGTCCTCCTGGACTCACGGCTGTCCTTGGAGGATCATATGACGGTCGTGGCCAGGGGGGCCTTTTATCAGGTCCGCCTGATCTCCCTTTCTGGATCGGGACGCCGTGCGCACAGTCACTCACGCTCTCGTCACTTCCCGGCTGGACTACTGCAATGCTCTCTACATGGGGCTCCCCTTGAGGAGCACCCGGAGGCTCCAGTTGGTCCAGAATGCGGCCGCGCGGGTAATAATGGGGGCAACTCGTCGCTCCCATGTAACACCGCTCCTGCGCGAGCTGCACTGGCTCCCGGTGGTCTTCCGGGTGCGCTTCAAGGTGTTGGTTACCACCTTTAAAGCGCTCCATGGCTTAGGACCTGGTTACCTACAGACCGCATTCTGCCACCGATTGCCTCCCACCGACCAATACGCTCCCACAGAGAGGGGCTCCTCCGGGTGCCGTCAGCCAAACAGTGTCGACTGGCGACCCCCAGGGGGAGAGCCTTCTCTGTGGGGGCAACTACGATCTGGAACGAGCTCCCCCCGGACATACGAAGGATCCCCGACCTCCGTGCCTTCCGTCGCGCTCTGAAGACCCTATTATTCCAGCAAGCTGGAGTGACAGGATAAAGGTTTTTTTAAATTGGGTTTTGATAGGGGGTTTTTAAATGATCTTAGTTGGATGTTTTAAATTTGGCCGAATGATTGAATTATTTTAATAAGCTTTTAATTTTTGTTGTACATTGTTTTTTACCATGGCTGTTCACCGCTCTGAGTCCCTCGGGAGAAGGGCGGTATACAAATATAACAAACTAAACTAAACTAAACTAAACGAGTGTATATACACAACAGTGACTTAAACCAGTGTCAGAAACTTGCTGGCAGACACTGAAGCTCACAAAATAGTGGTGCTAGATACGTGTCTTTGGCAGTGAACACTTCCAAACTTCCTTCTCTTGGATCATGATGGTCTCCAATGAGCACAACTGCTTAAAAAAAACCCCACCCTACAATATACATTATTAAGTCCCAGCTTATCCTGTTAGCACCAAGGACTTCACAGTCCTCCTCCTCCTCCTCCTCCCTGCAAACCCCACTCCCTACTAGCACTGATCTGATTACCTTGATGGGTAATGAAATGTCTGCAAGAAAAGAGCCAAGTTCAGAGAGCACCAAGGAACTC